ATGATTTCTTAATCTTTGTTCAATGCTTGCCAAAGTATCAACCTGTTTTCATAAGAGTTTCAAAAGAAATACAAAGGTAAATATTTTAGTTATCGATTTCAGTATTGATATCAATATGGTATCAATATGGTACTAATAAAAATTATTAATTTTTTATTTTTAGATCCAAATATCTTGGAATTAAACGATCTGAACAGAATGATCATAGGGGTAGTTGAATTTGCTCTTTCACGCTTGCGAAAATATTGAAAAAAAATGTGTCATATATAAAAATATACCATATAATACCATTTAAAAGTATTATTAAAGTCTAATAAAAGAATAACTTCGAAAAGAATTTTTTTCCATCGGCCAAATCTTCAAAATAATGCAATTTTGTCTTGAAAATATTTTTGATACAATAAAAAAATACGAAAAATAGTTGGGGTCATTAATCTATATATGGACAAAATGTATGGACTATTTTGTAGTGATATTGGCAGTTTAAAAAACTAAGAGTTCAGTGATTACATGAAAAGGAAAAAATTATTGAAAGTGTTGATTTCCACAACATCTTTAACAATCATCGAGATCGGTGGTGACATTCGTAATTTAAATAAACTTCTACTGCAATTCAATATTTTCAATCGAGAACATGAAGTATCAATTCCATATTAAAGGATAATTTATGCGAATAGAGAACCATTGCACAACTATTGAACTAGATTGAACGTAAATATTACATGTAAAAGAAACCAAGTTTGGCGTGAAAAAATGATTAAAATCGCATTCCAGGCTTTTTTATGATAAATTTATTGCATCACTTGTTAGATCATGTTAAACAGTTGCATAAATTGCACGCGTTCCATTTAATGATTTGTAGGCATTTCTGTGATTCAATGAGAATTACGTCGCTTCTTGAGTTTTTTCACATTATTAAAGTGCGTAGAGCCAGACATCGTCCACTCTTCACAATACGTATGTTTTCACATACGTCATGTTTTATAATTCATAATTAGTTTGAATTTCCCATACAATTAATTTGTCAAACTACACTCTCAAAGCTAAATTTTTGAGCAACAATTAACATCTTTGTCAACAATTATTCTTTCTTGACATTATCAAATAACTTTGATTTAGCGATATAGCATAATTTTTTCATTGTCCAAAAGACGATATTGATCTCGATGTAACGGCTGGTCAATAATTTAGTTTCTTGTAAGGAACAAAGTGAAAAAAGTGTTTAAGGCCTTTGACTGAGTAATGATTTCGTAAGAATTCTTATCGATTCTTATCGATACAATCAATTCTCGAAGTGACGAGTAAGCCAAACCGAATAATCGATTAAATACGTATAAATAATTACCCGGGCGGGGAGGGGTAAATACGTACAAGACGTTTGGTTTTTTTCCCTAGACAGTTGATGTCATGAATCTTCGCACGCTGTGATAGCAATGCCGACACAGGAAGTGAACTATTTCGTGAACCAGTCATGGCTATATAATCCCGTGCGTATAAAATACCAGTCTACGATGTAACGAGATAATAACACCCACACAAGAGTTTCGCGTAAAGCGTGCAATGAACAAACATTCCATGGGGAACTCACTCGTCACGAAACACGAGTGCTCGGGATTCCTCGTTTTAGGTCATCGTTCGTTCCGATTCTCAGATCCGTCCTGTTTTTCTCATACTCGTTACTATCATCCACCGGATGCGTTTCCCCTTCGTTCTTCTAAACGTGCTTGACACATGTTACATTCTTCGCCGGTTTTCGTTCAACAATCAATGTGTAATTGTTTCATTTCAGATTTCAAGAACGAATCATAATATTCGTAGCACGATCTCGCACGTTGCTCCATACGAAAGGAAATTTTACTTCAAACCCCCCCCCCCC